GCATTTTGGGAGGCCAAGGGCAGGCGGATCCCTGAGGTTGGAGTTTGAGTCCAACCTGAACCCAGACATGAGAAAACCCATCCTCTACTTAAAGTACAAAATTAGCCTGTGCGTGGTGGCACATGCCTGTATCCCAGCTACTCGTGAGGCTGAAGCAGGGAATAGCTATGAACCTGGGAGGAGAGGTTGTTGGGATTAGAGGCATGAGCCACTGCGCCCGGTGGCCATTACTTCTTCAAGTAGTTTTTCTGTCTTCTCTCTCACTCTCTCCTTCCCTCCAGTTACATACATATATTAGTTCACTTGCCTTTGTCCCACACCTCTGTGATGCCCTCTGTGTACTTTTCTCGGTGCTCCTGGATCTTGCGGTTTTCCAGCCTGGTGTCTGGGAGCCAGCCCTACTCCCCGGCCTGTGTGAGCACTGGTGGTTCTTGCCCCAGTGTCATATAGTCTCTTCCCTGAGATGCTGACCAGACATTCTCTGTGCAGCTCCTTCCTCTCTGTACTTTTGTGCCACTGTCTTAGTTCATTTGTCGCGGAGAGGTTACCGGTGAGCGAGATAGCACCATAGAACTCCAGCCTGGGCAACAATAGTGAACTCTGTCTCAAAAAAAAAAAAAACAAACCCAAAAAACTGATCCCCAATGTTGGAGGTGGGGCCTAATGGGAGACAGATCTACCTAATGGCAGATCCTTCATGAATGGTGCTGTCCTCACAGTGATGAGTCCTAGCTCTATTATGTTCCCTGAGAACTGATTGTTTAAAACAGCGTGGCACCTCCCCGCCTCTCTCTGGCTTCTCTCTCCGCGTGTGATCTGCACATACCACCTCCCCTTCCCCTTCCGTCATCATGGAAGCTTCCTGAGGCCTGCATCAGAAGCAGATGCTGACACCATGCTTCAGGTCCCCTGCAGAACTCTAAGCCAAATAAACCTCTTTCGCACTCTGAAAGTCGGTTCTTTCTCTGTTTGTGTATCGTGTTAGGATGTTTCCGTTCTTGCGTTCTTCCACTAAGTATTATGTCGCTATGTGTAGCCACAAGTCTTGTATGAGACATCTGTATACTGTTCTCAGATTCCACAGAAAATGAAGGCTAGCAAAGAGTATCACACCCGGAGTCAGAGTGATACTACAGAAGGTATCTAAATAAGCTCCGCTCGAAG